AGTGGAGCCATGCTGTGACTGTATCTAACCATGTGGCTCAGAGTCCTTTAGAACTGGTTTGCAGGAAAAGTTTGGAGGTACATGCTAGAGAAGCCCTATGATGCTATAAGCAGAGCTGAAAGGCCAGAATACTTACTGGAATGTAGACAGTAAAGGCCACGCTCATGAGGTTTCAGATGAGAACAAGGACTCCATTGGAAACTGGACAAGGGCCATTCATGTTACATTCTGATGAAGTACTTGTCTTCATCTTGCTCATGTCCTAAGACTTTGTGTGAAGCTGAATTTAAAATTCATCCAGCAGAGAAAATCTCAAAGCAACCAGCGTGAATACTGCTGGCTGCTTTCAGCCAGATCTACATTGAGAATCCAGAGCAAAAAGCAGAGCTGAGAGATGTGAAAATTTTGTAGATTTACCAGAAAGGCAGTAAAGTTGGGGCCAAGGAGAGAATGGTTACTGAAAACATTAGCATTAAACTGTAATCCCAACACTTGAGAGGCTGAGGCAGGAGGATTGCTGTGAGTTCAAGCCTGAACTATATAGCAAGAGCCTGTCTCAAAAAAACAAACAAACAAAAAAATGGCATTAAAAAGAAGTGAAGTACTTTGCACCAGGACAAAGGAAAGATGTATTGAGGGTATCTCAGGAAATGGCCAGACCCCACCCTTCACAGGCTCAAAATTATAAAAGGGTAAATCCCATGAAAGATTTTGCTTTGAGAAGAGTCCCTAGGATACCTGCTCAAGAAGGACCTCCTAGAGAACTGGTTCCCAGCATTCATTTCACTGTGCTCAGCCATCCTGAGTCCATTCCATAGCGGAATGCATAGCCAAATCCTGAGACTCAAAGGCCGCTGTAGCCGTGGTCCAAAGGGGCCTGGCTACTTCTCAAGCTGGCAGCCAACCGTGGTGTCACCCATGTGATGCTGGTTATACCCGCATGCAGAATGCAAGTGTTGTGAGGTCAGGGAGATTTCCACCTAGATTTCAAAGGAAGGCCTGGGATGCCAGCAGGGAGCCCCTGAAAGAGAAATGCGTGAAGCCATGAGAGTGAAGGCAAAGATAGAGTGGAAACCCCAAGAGTTTGGAGATGCCAGGAATGTGGAATGTATGGTGAAAATACAGGCAGCAAGTAGAGCCAGCCCAAGAGAGAGGGCGGTGTGGGTTGTGACCAGAAATACCACACAGTGGAGCCACGTTACTCCTTCAGAGCTCACATCTTGCTGGCTGGGTGCTGGACAGGAGGAGCTACTCCACTGTGTTTGTCCTGCTAGTTTCAGGTTTTGATGTAATTCTTTTCTACTCCCCTCTTCTCCTCCCTTTTAGAATGGAAACGTTGACCTTATTCCTTTGTGAGCTGGATGTATTTTAAGTTTCTTTTAGATTCTAGTAGTGACTCACAGCTAAGAGCCTACCTTGAGTTTCAGAAGAAACTTAGAATATGGACTTTTCAGCACTGCTTGAACAGTTAAGACTTTAGCAACACTTAAAGACGGAATACGTGATTCTGCATCATGAGATGGACACAGCCTTTCAGGGACTCAGGGTAGAATATTGTGCCTTAGATCTAAACTGATCACCTCCCAAAAGTCTCGTGTGTGCTGAGGGGGGGCTTTGGGAAGTGATTGGACCCTGGAGAACGCTGTTCATTGGTGGACTGACCCACAGATGAGTTCATAGCCGAATGCACGGTCAGAAGGTAGGGCCCCGTCAGAAGTGGGTCACTGGGGCTGTGACCTGGAAGGATATGTTCTTGTCCCCAGTTCCTGCCTCCTCTCTCTGCTTCCTGGCTGCCGTGGCTTAAGCTGCTTTGCTCCACTGAGCTCTCCTTCCATGCCCTTTTTGCCACAGAGTCAGCTGACCATAGACTGAACCGTCTCAAACCGTGAACCAAGTTCAACCTCTCCTCCTTTGATTGTGGGTGCAGGGTATTTTGTCCCAGTGACGGGCAAGTGACCAATGCACTCATCCTCTCCCATATTCTGCCTTCTTCACAGCACCTGCCTGGCAAGCACAAGGTCGTGAGTTCGATTCCCGGTACCAGAAAAAAAACGAAAAAAAAAAAAAAAAAAAATTACATCCATATTCTGCCTTCTTGTTTAGCCCTTCCAGTGGGCTCAAACACATTTGGTTTCGTGGTCTGGAAAGGCAGCAGGGAATATGGTTGAGTGTAGGGAGTCTTCGCACACAGGGGACTGAAATTCCAGCTCCTCCAACCCTGCTTGTGTGGCACTGGCCACGTTAACCTTTCTAGGTCAGTTTCCTTGCCTGGGGAGGAGGAATATTAACAGTGCCTGCTGTTGCTATGAGGGTCACAGTCACAGTAGGGTTCCGCAGAGAAACAACCAGTAAGATGTGGGAGGAGGGAGCTATAGCTATATCTGTCTGCAGAGCTATGGGGAGACGGCTTGATTTAAGGAACTGAGTCACACGGTTGAGGAGGATGGCAAGTCACACAGTGCTTCCACGCCTCAGCCCCGTGCTTCCGTGTCACCTGCCATCTCCTGACATGAACGTCACTGAGCCGCTGGCAGCTGCCCAGCTGCGGAGTCAGACACCCTCTTCATCCTCTCCAGGGTTCCTGCAGCCATGGTGGCTTCCTTCCCCCTTCGATCCTCTGGCTCAGCGTCCCCTGGGTTCTCCTTGTGCCTGCCCACGGGGTCTGCCCTGTGCCCAGCCCCTGACTGACTTTCAGTGCCATCGGCAGGA